ACTGATTGGTTTAGACAACTTTTTCTTCCAAACTGACGCCAAGACACTTGAAACAAGCCAGCAAAGCCCCGCCAAAATAAAACGTCTGAGAAATATCAAATAATGTTAAAAGTTTGGCAGTAAGATCGCCTGCTCATGTCGGGTTCTCTTTAGTAAGTTAAAAACATTTCACTCACACTGCACCTCCACGTCTCTTAAGTAATATTCTCAGATTCATTATAAGCTGCTTAGACGCCTGCTTTCTAAACATTTGTCCACACATTTGCAGTGATCAGAGGGGGGACAGTAAGAAGAGACATCTACACTACATCTGTGCACGTACTAAACCTGCATGGAAGGGTGTTTGCTTGTGCTTATAAATATCATCATCAGTCAATTCTTCTGTAATAAAATGTCTGAGTCGTTTCAGACACAACATCTCTATTTAAAGGTCACATTTAAAATCCACTTCCCCATGTTTCTCTAACTCTAATATGTGTCTCTAGTCCGTCTACAAACCCCCCAATGATGAGAAAAGTCCAACCCCTCCGTCTTCTGCCTGCTCCACTTTCAGAAAATGTGTGCTCAAACAGGCCATTTGGAGATTTTCCCTTCATGACATCACAAAGGGCAGTAGCCCCTCCCCCAGGTGGGTGACACTCCCACAGCTAGGTGTTTGTTCTGCCCTCTGAGTCTGCCTTCTCACTGTAAACAATAGGACATGGAGCGAAAATGACAGAGACACGCCCTTCCAGAGAGGGCGTGTGGTCAGACACAGCTCATTTACATATTTAAAGGTACAGACACAGAAACAGTCTGTTCTGAGCAGGGCTGAAATAGAGGGGTTTATAGACATGATCAAATACAGGATCAAAGTGGATTTAGAAAAAGAAACTTCACACATGTTTTGAGGAGCTCTGAGACTTATTTAAACTGGTTTAAGAGGAGGAGGATATGTGACCTTTAAAAACGTTCCTTATCCGTGCAACTCAAAACAAAAGCCGAGACACGACGACAGATGATGTGAGAGCGCTGAGCAATCTCTTCATTAGGACTGAAAATAAATCAAATCAAGCTCTGTGTGGCTCTTTAACTTCATCATGACATCAGAGCGTCTCTCTTCATCCACTTTCCGACTAAACCCCCCCCCTCCTTCAGAGACCCCTGCAGCAGCCCCCCACCTCTCCCACCCCCTCTCTGCTGACGATGAATACTTTTTCTTTCTGGTATATGTTCTTCAATCTTCTACACAAGTCAGATTAAAACGCTCTGTTTTTGTCCTGATGCCTGGCCCACTCCAAGAGAAGAAAAAAACTACACCTCCTCTCTCTCCCCTTTCAGTCCCTCCCTCGCTCGCTCGCTCCAGTCCTCGGCTCGAGGCCAAGGCTCCACGCCACGCTCAGAGAAGAGCTGGTCCTGATCCAACAAACCCCTCCTCCTGTGCTCCCCCCTCGCTGCCGCCTTCTTCCCTCTCTCTTTTAATAATAATCTCAGTTTTGAGTTTTTAGAAACACACACAGCGAGAAAATGCGAGTGTTCTGCCAGAACAGCTCTCTCTTTGTTTTCAAGCAGCTTATTACCACCAGAACGCCTGGATCTGCTCCCTCTCCCCCGTTTGCCCCCCTCTCCTCCTCTCCCTCCCCCATGTTTAATGGATTTCAGGCAATTATAGTTTTTTTTTTTACAGTCAGCCCTAAAGAGGAGGAGGAGTCAGGGTGAGACGCAGCGCAGGAGGAGAATTTTAACAAGAAGTGGAAGCCCTCGTCTTCACGCATGTGTGTGTGTGCACGTGGCCGCATACACACAGCTCTACCACCGATACCCACAAACACAGACACACTTTCTCTTCCTCACACACACACACATCAGGTGGTAAGTGGGTCCAGATGGGCGTCTTTCATAATAGATGAGCCCAGCTGACTGACTGGCTCCGTGAGGCTCGACTACCTGAGGGACGCTCGCAACAGGAATGTCAGGAATCTCTGTATTCCCCGAGGAAACACACACACACACACACACACGCACACGCACACGCACACGCACACGCACACGCACGCACGCACGCACGCACTCACTGTCTCTCAGCATAGGTCTGGGCAGGAATGCTGGTGCAGGGCAGAGCTCACATGAGTTTTAGTTTTGCTAACAGCTGTCGGATTTCTCTCCTGCTTTAATCAGAATCATGCAGAACATTTATTCATGCTCTCTGTGAGCTTCTCTCATTTTGTCATTTAGTGTGACAGTATGAGCCCAAACAACCCATCCACAGTCACAAACCTTTTATCCCTACGCATCAGGAGCCCAGAAATAAGGCTGCCATCACTGCATCGTTAAAAAAAACAATTTGAAACATCTTTTGTGTCATCTTTTGAGCGTCCAAACGTACAGAAAAGGCTCTACTTGTTCAAATAATAAATAAATAAATTCTCACACGTTATGTCTGAATTAGGACCATCAGCTGTGTCCATAAAGGCACACAGCTTTCACACCCAGGTCCAGACGTCCTGTTTAATATTATTAAGGACCTGGATCTAAAACCAGGATCTGGCTCCAGACTAAGGAGATGTGCAACATTTTTAGACATTATTGATCTCATCGTGGGCTAACTGCATCTTTTTAGTGTGAATTGATGTTGCTGGATATTTAATTCTGAGCAGATTTCACTCTGACTCCCAATCAGTTATCAGAGTGAAGTAAACCAACATGATGGTGATGTATGTGTGGATTCTATCAGAGACATAGACAGCTGCTCTGTGAATAAAGATAAAGTTTCCAGTCTTAATAACAAACAGAAGTTGCTCATTGCTGTCCGCTTTACGAGTCTTCCTCCACAGGAGTTTGTGAGGACGCATCATGAACTCATTCATCCCCCCCTTCTGTTCCTCCTGTACTCACTTATCTGCTCTCCGTCCGCCCCCGTGTCCTCCGACCGCTCTGTATCGTCCTCGTCATCCCCCGACGAGATGGCATCTGCACAGAGTAACCACGGTTACTGCTACCCTTCGCGTCACACACATGAAGTAACGCATGCAGAAACTCTCATGCAGCAGATTTCTCGCAAAGTTTGCAAACAGATTTGTAAGGAAATGAGGGAGTGGAGCTGTTGTAGAATACATCTGAATACACACACTGCCGTCATTTTACACTCACTCAAAAGAAAGAGCAGATCTCCTCCATGGCCCCTCCCTGGTCTACACTGAGCTCCATCCAACCCTGACCTGCCTGCTCCCTGACTCACCTGTGACATTCACTATGAAGCACACCGTGTCTTTGCCCACACTGGTGCAGGTGTACAGGCCCGAGTCCTTGGGCGTGGCATCACGGATCTGCAGCAGCTCCTGCTCTATCAGCGTGCGGTTGTTGGTGCCCAGAGAGCTGCCGTCTTTGGTCCAGGTGATGGTCCCCGTAGGTGGCAGAGGGCAGCTCAGCTTCAGCACCTCCCCCGGGTGCAATGAACACACCGTGGGCTTAGATATTTGGTATTTGTTGGATGCGTCTGCAGAGCAGGTGGGGGAGGGGGGGGGGGGTGAGGGTGAGGGTGGGGAAGGCAAAAGGACAGATGAAGAGGGTGCACAGGAAGGAGAAAGGAGAGGTGGGAGAGGAAGAAACAAGCCAGAGTTTAGGAAACAAAAACACCACAAAACCCCGACCAGATGCACTTTAATCAACTTCTGCAGAGGAAAAGAGGAGGCCCGATTTAAACCGCCACACCAGCATCCCAGTCCGTCATTTAAACAGAGCCCTCAGAAAATACCACCATACTTGTTGTTATCAGGTGTGCAGTGTGATCAGAGAGCATGCAGTAACAGCCAGCAGCATGTGAAGTGAAAAAAAAAACAAGCAGGTGAGCTTTTGACATCCCTGCGACCTGAGATAGCTACGCCCCCTTCGATCTACCCAGGACCTTTAAAGTAGAGATGTAGCCTGTGTGTGTGTGTGTGTGTGTGTGTGTGTGTGTGTGTGTGTGTGTGTGTGTGTGCGTGTGAGAGTAGGAGCAGTGCAGACAGATCTCTGCAGCCTTAAAAAAAGGAAATCATACTCCAGCTCGACTGTCCGTCAGAGAGGAAAGCAGCTAGAAAGGTCGAGGACAGAAGCGGTTGTCAGGTAGGGGGAAGGGGGAGAAGGGCGATGGTTGGCTCTTTTTTGGTGAGGGGGGGGGTTTCACTGGTTCTGACTGCGCCTAAACTTGGAAAACTGGACCTGGCTGCAGCCTGACTCTTCTGTTTTCCTTCTTCTCTTCAGTAACAGCCATGGAGGATCTACAGCCCTGCTCACGATCCACCGCCAAGGCCAACGCAAGAAACTCTGCTCGTCTCCAAAATGCATAAAACCTCCACTTCTGGGAGAAAATCCAAGTCCGCCTGTGAGCGCATGTGTGCACATATCGAGTATTCTGACTTGTGGAACTGCATGGCAGAACGCGGTGAATAACGAGCGCATGAAATCGAATTCAGACTGAACCTCTGCTTCAGGATGGATTTTATATCCTTCATGCAAACTCTGAATGTTGTCTGAAATACAAGCTGGTCCTGCATATCCAAGGCCAAATGCATTCCCCCTTGAGGCTCCTGCAGACTTTAACACACATGCAAAACACACACACACACACACACATTCATGCACAAATGTGTACATCCACGCAGCTCAAACATGCACTGATCTTGAAAGTCTTTGCACAAATCCCCGAGGAGAACTCAGAGGAAGAAATTCCAAGTTGTCTTTACTGCAGAACAAAAAATGTCCTAAACCGAGTTTTTTGTTTTTTCTTCAGAGAAAGCTGAAGGAAAAGAAGTGAGGGGGGAAAAAGTAGCAACAACGGAAAAGTGTATAAAAGAAGAAGAATGTGTAGTGTCAGACTGAAGGCTGACGGTGTAATTATAGAGGCGGGGCAACACCCAGCACTTCCTGTACCTCTGTACACCTTTTCAAAAACATTCCACCCACATGATGTCCCCGACACGTGTGATGAATATAAAACACACACACACACACACACACACACACACACACACACACACCACACACACACACACACACACACACACACACACACACACACACACAGTCCAGGCATGTGTGCGAGCCTCTAAACATTCCCCCCGGGCAGGTACGCACACAGGTACAGTTCCTGTGCTGTCTTTTTTTCCTTCCTCTCTTTCCTTCATTCCGGAAATAATTAACCCACCTCCCCCTCCCCCGTTCCCTCCCCAGGACTGAGTGTGTGGTCTGATAAGAGGTGGAGCTCCTGATTGATGGGCGCTGTCTTTCCCTTCTTTACGAGATGCTTTCCACACCGCAGGCCGCGGCCTCACCTCACCGTTATTACTGACTTCAGTTCTTTTTTATTTTCCTTTCTTTTATTTTGGGTTTTAGAGACTCACACACAGCAGAGAAGGGATGTGCTGTGAAGCTTCAACATGGTGACTGATGAAGAGGAGGGGAAACAAAAACAGAGGGGAGAACCGAAACTCTCCAAATGGTGCGTCTGATTTAAGAAAGCAAACACGTGTTAGTTAGTTCATCATGTTCTTATCTCTGCCGTGTCCATCTGTCCCCCTCCATCACCTCCTCCTCCTGTTCCTTCCCACACATCCTCACCCCTGCTCCCCTCCCCCTGACCCCACTGACCTGACCCCAACCCCTCCCAGACCTGGTAACACCTCCAGCATGCCTGATTGTTCATGGGAAACTCGCTCATGTAAACACACGGTGAGTGCAACAACAACATATTGTTGCTAAACTGCATTGCACTGTGATCTCCTTTTCATTATAGTGTTTAAAAGTTTTCAACCTTTTTTACTTCAAGGACGCCGTCCATAGAAAAACAAAAATCTGTCAGCTCACTGGGGTACATCGACATCTGTTTCATGTTGATTCATCGACCTGTTACCTTTTAAATACAGAAAACAGACCTGAGAGAAAGTCAGACACTGAAAGAAGATGCAACGGTGTACCTTAATAAATTCATATACCACACACACACACACACAATAACACACACACACACACACACACACACACACACACACACACACACACACACACACAGCTCCATTTGTAGAGGGTTTAGAAGCGTCCAGGGATGCAAATTGAGTTGAAGAGTTGAAACCCTTCACTGCAGATTTTTCATCTCTGCAAAGTTTCTTCCTCCCTCTGCAGCATGAAGGGGGGGGGATCTTCCTCTCTAACTAACACACACACACACACACACACACACACACACACACACACACACACACACGTGGGCTCGATTGTCTTTCTAAGAGCTTTCTATTCTCCACCTTCCCTCACTCAGCTGAAGCACATTTTCATTTCAAATCATCTCTCTCTCGCTCTCTCGCTCTCTCTGTCTCTCTGTCTCTCTGTCTCTCTCTCTCTCTTTTCTCTCTCTAACAGGTATTACTCGTGTCTATCAGGTGTGATGGATTCAGGCGGTCCACTCCTCCCTGTCTCTTTGTACTCATTCACACCATCTCGGCTGACGATAATGAGTCTCACAGCCTGAGTGTCCGTGGCAAAATGCAACAAGCAATTCTCATCGCTTTGACGTCTACTGGACCGCGCCTGTCTCACTGCCTGTCTCACTGCCTGTCTCACTGCCTGTCTGTCTGTCTGTCTGTCTGTCTCTCTGCAGAGTCGTGTAGTCATGTTGTTTAAGTGGCAGAGAGGGAGTCATCTCTTCTGCAGAGGCTCACTCTGCTGCAGCTCTTTTTCTCCATCTCATCTCTGCACAACAGGAGAGGTGGACTTAATGTAATGACTGCCATCCATGAGCCCACACACACACACACACACACACACACACACACACACACACACACACACAAAGACACACACAAAGACACACACACACACACACACACACACACACACACACACACACACACACACACACACACACACACACACACACACACACACACACACACACACACACACACACACACACACACACACACACACACACACACACACACACACACACAAACACACGCTGCTAAATCACATTATCTCTGCTGCCCTTCTTATCCCTCCTTCTTTCCTCTCCTCTGTCCTCTGCATCCTCCTCACGCGGACCTTTCTCCTCTTTTTTTTTGTCTCTCTCTCTCTCTGTTCTGACGTCGGCCTCTTTTCTCATTCAAATCCCTCCTCGGCTTTTTTATGGTGACAAAGGAGCAGCTCCATGAAGTGGCTCCTGCTGACGTCCATGGCAACGGCCCCTCCAGTTCTCCCGGCTCCTCACACCCCCGTCGAGGCTTTCCCTGAACCCCACCCGACCCCTTAAACCCCCCAGCTCCTTCTTATCTGCAGAAATCCTCAGCGACCCACGGATTGATTTCCCCTTTTGCTAAATATTAACCTGAGACTTCAAGATCTTATCAAGGCTGCAACTATTCATCTGCTCTAAACGCATCTTTAAGTCTAAAAACAGAAATTCAAACCACAACTTCTCTATTCACATGTTTTGTGCAGTCAGAAATGACAGATTTCTGTGGATCTAAGACTGGAAAAAAGATCTTCATATTGAGGAAATTGCAATAAGACAGCCAGGAAAAAATCCCTCAACCGATAGATTGGTTATAAAAACAGTTATCAGCTATTGTTCAGTACATTAGACTCATTAATGAAGTATTCAAATCTTTAATGATACATTTTTACAGGAAAGTCAGGAGGCTCATCACTAAAACAGACAAAAAGATGTGACCATGATTCACAGCAGGAGAAACTTAAAGGCACGATAAATAAGAGCTCCAGGGAGAAATTCTCTTTCTTAAATGATGAAATCTCACCATCATTCTGCTTTCATGTAAAGTTTGCTTACATTGATGTTTCCCCTCCCTCCTCTGACACCCGGCACTCAAACTGACACGGCGTGCAGCTCCTCCTGCCTCTTATCACACAAGTGTGAGACCGAGCGCTGCAGTGACAGCCAGGTAACTCACACACAAACACACACACACACACACACACACACACACACACACACACACACACACACACACACACACACACACACACACACACACACACACACACACACACACACACACACACACACACACACACACACACACAAAACACACAAACCTTCTACATTAACACCAGCCAACGGCGTGCTAATAAAGTGATTGTGCTGAGGTCGTATATTCACCCCCCTGCCCCGCGGTCTCTCACACACACACTGTGTTTGTGTAGAGTTCACTGCCATGGCCACAGTCGCACACACACACACACACACACACACACACACACACCCTCAATGTCATTAACTGGCCAGCTGACACTTTTACACTTTTACAGCCGCTCTCCTGCTGTGTAGAGAGCACAGAATTACAGAAGGTAATAAGCCTGCAACTCCTCCACATTCCCACCTTCACACACACACACACACACACACACACACACACACACACACACACACACACACACACACACACATACACACACACACCTTTCTTTATACAAGGTTACAGAAAATAAATAACACAGACGTTCGTTAGAGATTGAAGTGGTCTTTTGTTGACAAGTTGTCGTTCTTTGAGGTGTCAGTCTGAGAGAATCATCCCTGACACATCATCTAACCTTCATCCAAACACTCAACTGCTGAAGTGTTTGCTTCATTATAAGCAGAGTTTTTGTTTCTGAAGAACAGATTGTGGCAGAGAGCAGAGGGGCTGCACTCAGTCTGTGTTTCTGACGCCACATGTCGTCTGTGTTGGATGCAGAGAGCTGCAGGAACGAGGATGTGAGAGTACATGTCGTGTTTCTGAGCGCTGCTATTCAGCTCAGAGAGAGAGACGCTTCATCACCGAGCAACAAGAGAGGACAAACATGATCAGCTGGCAGGCACATGTCCCACAACACAAACAACGCAAAGGATATTAGTGTTTTGATTTTTCATCATAGCGTGCTTCCTTGCAATGTTCCTTGCAACATCCTGACTGATTTAAACCTTCATGTTTATCACTGAAACAAAGCAGATTCTTTAGTGTCTCCATCGGGTCAGAGGACGCACGCCACCTGAAGAAAAGTCGCTTCAAGACGAGTGGAGAGAAAGAGAGAGAGAAACTAACTCTCAAAGTGAGAGAGTGTTCTCTCTGTTGTTCTTTAATTTGAAGTCAGAAGGTTTTCAGTTCCACATCCCCCAGAGTCTTAAGTTTTCTTTACAGAGAACAGAAACGTCCTTCAGAGTCGTGGTTAAAGCTTCACCTCAACACGAGCACCTGAACCTCCGACTGAAGAGTGTGTGCATCTCACTCCCTCAGGTAAACACTTCACTGTCTGCAGTAACAATAGTGTTGTTGTGGAGTCTGGCAGTGTGTCTAGTTACACCTCCACAGGTAACACACTCACAAAGAGAGGATGAGGGGGGGCGGGGGGGTTATTAGGACAGAGAGGGCGGGGCCAGCCAATGTGTCTCTCTGACATGTCCAGGTGACAGCAGACACACACATTCAATCACACACACACACGTCTGTGTGAGCTGAAACACAAACGATCAGAGTGTAAATCAAACAATATGGACACCTGCGTGATACAACAAACACAAGTCCCCCCGTACCCCACGGGTCATTATCAGACCTAAGTGGGCCGTGTGCTGCAGGGAAACTGACTCTGGATCAGATATCAGGCTGTGCCCCACTGATCCCTCATCATGTGACCCCACAGGTCCAGCCACTTAATCTTAGTCACATGACTTCACCGCCGCAACGCTCTGTAATCTCTGCATCTGAAGGAGAAGTCAAACACGCCCCAATCCTCTCACAGCTTTCCAGGAGGATCGTCTAACTCTTAAGGTGACTTTTAGGAGTCCATCATAAGTTGCAGGAAACTCCTGCACGCCGTCTAAATGAATCAAAGAATCAAAGAATAGGCAACATGTTGGTGCTGAAACATTGCCAACGTTTCTCTGCAACTTCTGATAACTGAAAACAATAAATGAGCCATGATATTTGGTGACTTGTATTTTTATTGTGTGGTGTCACACAGGTATCGTTTAGAAAACTCTCTTCAGGTTTTAGGAAACCTTTAAAAAACTCTCCCCCGCCCCCTTCTCTCTCATTCTGCAGTGTCCGAGCGCGACTCAGGAGCCGTCAGCTCGGAGCCAAACAGTCTGAGACCCAAAAACAAAAACACAGAGAGGAGAATCAGACGGCCTCTCGTCAGGGCAAGAAGGATACCCGACCTCAGGGCAAAGGGCAGGACCAGGTACAGAGAGTGTGTGAGTGTGTGTGTAAGGAGCGGGGGTTGTCTTTAAAGAAGAAGTGATGCTCTGTTGTTGTCCAAACGTAGGATTAGCATGCTGATTAAAGCGCGGGAACAAAAGGCTGAGGAATGTGAGCTAGCATCCATCACAACAGCTCTAATTAGCTCGTCTCTGAGCGGACTGAAGGACCGCAGCCTGAACACGGAGACGTTTCAGAGGAACTTCTCAAAACACAACGGCCGTGTGCATCATAAAGGACTTTAACAAAAGGTTTCTGAAAACTCTCAGCTTGGACCACAGGAGAGTCCTGCACTCTGTTTCTTAGTTCTCCCTCTTTGTGCCTCTTTCCAGGCGAGTGGGGCATAGAGAGAGAGAGAGAGAGAGAGAGAGACAGAGAGAGATGCCAGCATAAACACCGTCCCACCCTTCTTCACAGCTCTCCCCCCACTCCTCCTCCTCCTCCTCATCCCACACGGGGTCACAAACCCACGAGTACGCCCTGAACTACCACAGGCTATACCACTGGCTATCAGCAGGGGAGGAAAAACGAGGGGCTCGCCATGCTCAGGTTTTATTTCTGTTTATGTGTTTTACTCCCTCAAACATCGGAGACAGATCCACTCGTTTTACTCTTCAGGATTTTAGCAACAGAAGTGTTTAAAACCAAGAAACGTTCAGCGCTAACATGTTGGAGAAACTTAAATCAGGGTATCATGCACTATCTCTGCACAAAAACAAACCTGAGGAATTAAATATGCTGCAGGCTCATCTTTGATTTTTGTCGCTGGATGTTTCAGTGAAATACAAAGAAAACTCTTTAAGGAGGCAAACAAACACGTCCGACACCTGCTCATTAAAATCAAACCCAACAAATGGCCCCACACCCCCCCCCCTCCCCTCTTGTGTCCCCTCGTTCTTACCTTCAGGTTGCAGAGTGGCCTCCTCCTCCTTGGTGGCGGTGAGGGGGGGCCGGGCCACGCTGACGGTCAGCAGAGACAGCAGGACGGCGGCCAGCAGCCAGGCCCACGAGGCCATCCCGTTAGTGGGGGCCAGCGCTCCCCATACCCCCTTTCTTCTCCTCCCCCTGGACACTGATCCCATCTGAGGGGGTCCGCCCAACCATCAACTGCTGCCGGGCCGGCCTGTCACTCAGCAGAATTCACCCAATCACCTGGGCTGACAGGTGAGGACAGAGAGGGGGTGGAGGGTGGGAATAAAAAATAAAAAAACATGTTAATCTCACGTTGAATTCCACTGATTTCAAAGAATCGGTCTCAGGTTTGAATTTAGTTTGAGGGCGACAGAAACTGAAGAAAGCCACAGAGACACACAGAGTTTCAAAATGCTGTCAAACAAGCCGTGCAGCAGACATACCGAAGCTGTGACACACACACACACACACACACACACACACACACACACACACACACACACACACACACACACACACACACACACATACATACACACACACACTGTGCATCTGTAATTATGTGCATTCAAAGATGGTTCAGTGAAACCAAATTAAAGATGACTCCTACATTTACATAACCAGTTTGATGTCTCGCTGAGTCAAAACTACGAAGGTCTGTTTTTATTTGAACTTTATAAAAATATAAATCTGATGTTTAAAAAAAAAGTGTTTAATTTAAAATAAGATTTCCCATGATGCATTCTGATCACTCTTCTAAAGGTGATGTTATTCTCTCCTGAGGCTTCCAACAGGTTTCACTTTATGAACCTGCGTCAAAGTTTCCTCTGAGTTCATAAGAAAGAATATTCTCCGCTCATGACTCATGATATATTATAAAGTATCTGTGGCTCAGGACAGACGACCCCTCAGCACCACCCTGCTTAAACCGGACCCGGTTTGTTCCCGCGCGCAGCAGGACCTGTTGCACGCGCTGCTGCTGCTGCTCCGTTAATGTGTCTTAATGCATCTCTCTGACTTGATTATGAGAGCAGGGAGGCTTTCATTGAAATGCTATCTCGCTTTATTGGCCGTCATGCATACACTCTCAGTCTTTCAGTGTGTGTGTGTGTGTGTGTGTGTGTGTGTGTGTGTGTGTGTGTTTGTCAGACATCTGCGGAGCTGCGAGTCTCCGGAGGTCTGCTGCAGTCACGCTTCTCTGCCTCCTTCTGCTCCAGCTGCACGGATCGATCCGTTTGACCCGCACGGACTCATGTAGTTTGACTTATAGAGGGACGACCTGGGAACCTGATTTATCTTTAATTTGGCCCTCAGGGGCCACCGTGAGATACGCGCCGTGGAGACACACAATCCAGCTCCACGTCCTAACTTCATTAGAGAAACGCACGGGTTGATTTGATTTGTGTAATTAAAGGAGAATCATTCTTACAGCTCGAGTGATGAATTATAAACCAATCAGGACTCTTCAATTCAGCAGGTTTTAAAGATTGCAAAATTACCCACAAAGCACCGCTCTTTTTTCTTTTTGTTTTTACTTCTTTTTAAAGGTTGTGATGTCTAAAGCACAAAACCTGCAGTACTCTGCAGCTTTTAAAAACAGAAACTGTTAAAGAATAAATGTGACACTTTAAACACAGAATGAATTTAGAGTCGGTGTGTGAAAGTGAGAAATAAACTCAGTGCAGCATGCTGACCCTCTGACATGTGGGCTCAGGAGCGCCATGAGCAGCCTGCATTGAAAACGGACTCTGAATGAATTTCTTGGCTCTGATTGAATTCTATTGAAATTTAAATCAGTTGGCTTTTCTTCAGGGGGGCTGAGGGGGGTCTCAGTGATTTAAGGCTCCGGCACCAAGCAGAGAAAAAACAACTGCAGTCACGGGATAATTAGCCCCATAAATGCGATGTCGCAAATTAAGCAAAGTAATAAATAACCGGGACACTTGTTAATGGCCCTAAAGTGATGATGCAAGGTGCTGCTTCCTCACCTCGAAAACAAACAGGGACGGATTACTCTGAGTTTAAGATGGGAGGGGAAAAAAACACTGAAAACAATTAATTTTTTTAATGTAAAATCAAGAGAGGGTGGGGGCTTTCATCAGAGATATTTATATTTAAAGGTCATCTGAAGGAGTCACAAAGCTGAATATTCTTTATAACTCTAACTCTGAGGGTCTCATTTTGTGGTGAAGCCGTGAGGAGGACAAACTGCACCTTCCCAAACAGCGCAGCGCGTTTCTCCTGTTGGTCGTGACAGCACAAAGTGTGACAGAGGAGACTGAGAGGGTCTTTAGGCGTAAACACTGAATACTTACCAGGGAGGACTGTGAATCGTGGAGATCTCTGTTTTGGCATGCACGGAGAAGGGAGGAGAGAGCATGAGCTGAATCCACAGGGAGGAATGTCTCCAACTCCACAATGCAGCAAAAAAAAAAGAAAAAAAAAAGAAAATCTGCGAGGCGCTGCCTTCTTTTTCACTCAGTTATTCCACAATCACCGGCAGAAAATCCCATCACAGGATATAATCCAAGCCCGACAGGCAGCGTGGTCCGATGCCATGCAGAGAAATCCGACTTTTTACGCGTTATCCTCCAAAACGAGCTGAGAAAACCGCACCGCTGTCCCCCCGAAACTTTCCTCCCCGTCACCAAGTTTGTTCCAGGGCGCAGAGCATACCCAGCGCTCCGAGCTGACAGCCAAAGAGAAAGTTTGCAGCTTCTTAGGACGCTGAGTGAGGTCTAAATGGCACAGGAGGAAAGTTTTCCGATGCAAAAAGTCCTAAAATCCATCAGTGTGCGTCCCCGCGCTGAGTGGAGCGTCTTTGTCGTCTCTTTCTGCTCTCCTGCCTTCACTCCTCGCTCGGTTCCTCAGACGCTTTGTCAGGTTTACTAGATTTTTTCTCCTCCTTACGTCTCCGCTCTCTGCCCTCCTCCTTCACTCCAGTGGGTGTCATTCCCCCCCAAGCACCCCCAATGTAATCTGAGCCGCTTCCTGGCCGCAGTGCCTTTGGGCCCTGCCTTCCTCCGCCCCTCTCACTGCAGCGCTGCCTGCCTGCGCTTACATTACTCACTGAGAGGCGCAGACTGCAGGAACAGCGCCCTCCTGCGGACAAGGAGCGAAATCTACTGCTTCGCACATGCTGTAACAAACACACACACACACACACACACACACACACACACACACACACACACACACAAACACCCAGGCACAAATCCCATACAGTATACTTCTTAAGAATCTTTTCTTAAAATAGTTTATATGTAGGACAGTAAGAGACAATCTATCAGCTGAACCTTGCACAAAACAAACAAGATGAGCTTTTAATATAAGAAACGTTATGAAGCAAATACTTAATAATATTTATTGTTCTCACCCTGAATTAATGTTGAGACACCAGACTGAGTCACACAGCTTTTGAAGAAGTTTTACAGGAAGTCAGGTTTGTGATCTGCACAAGAATGAACCTCCAGGGCGGGAAATGCCCAAAACTGCAGTGTCCTCCAGTCCCCATAGAGCTCCATGTTAAAATGTTCAACTTTACAGCTGCAGTTCCTCCAGTATTTACATGTCAGCAACAATTAGCAGCTAATCTGTGAAGAAACCTACCTGGACTGTTAGCTCGTTCACTGTCATACAGTCATTATTTGTGGCCGTGCATGGAGTCAGGATTGTTGTTGGATTTCCCTGCACAGAAGACGGCGAGCTGGAGTGATAAAAATAAATATACTGTCTTCAAAGCTGGTTTTACAAAGAGCTCAACATTCAGTATTCAAGTCTGCATCCAGGATTAAAATCCAAGTGACATAAGACAGACATCATTATTAATAGCTCCGGTTAAAGATACTGACTGAAGATTCGATTATATCATACCGTGCATTTTGCATTCTGCTGCATTTTTGCAGAGTTATGTGTAACTGTAGTTCCTAACTTTTCTACAAACCAACAGATCTGTCCACGGCCCCCCTGAGAGAGACTGAAGGCCGCCCCCCCTGCAGCTCGTCCCCCCTGATTCAACCTGTCTCCTACATTGGTTCAGCCGCTCGAGAGCTCTGAAAGAAACACAGGGGAGGCTGGAAGCTTCTAATCTGCACAGACTTTTTTTTATTTTTGTCTCACTTCCACTGCTGAAGCTTTCTTTCTTTCTTTCTTTCTTTCTTACACAGGGAGGGAAAAGTCTTCTATTCATTTTGAAAAGAGGCTCTAACAAGACGTTGAGTTTTTTTCTCGGAGGCAGAGGTTGGTCCTGTGAATGGAGAGCGCTGCGTCTGTTTTTCTCGCCTCGGCCTGCCTGAGTGAAGCCATCAGATAACAGAGCAGCTGACAGGCTGGTTAGAAAGACGGAGCGAGAGGTGAGGACCGAGAGTTTGACTCATTTTTCAAGAGAGGCACAAAATCCCCCCCGCTGTTTCTCCCTCTCTGTGTGTCTCTTTCCTCCCACTATAAGTCTATTTACAACCGCCCAATTTATTTTCTCCTGCCCGGGCAGCCCACATCTGAAAGAACCCTCATCATGCACGCAGGCCCCTTTGACTGAGAACTGGGTGGACTCAATGCCCCTGTTCTGTGGTATCTGTCAACCTGTCACTGCCCTCTTCATCTCCATCTCTTCTTCTTCCCCCTCCCTGGTGCAGCAGCAGCAGACACAGAGTACAGAGTGAGAGTGATGTTAATATCACCCCTCGGCGTCGCAGCTAAACATATTGATCCCGTTATCATTGGTCGAAATCATCAGGAGGTGTGTGTTCATGATGAGAGTCCCCCTCATTGCAGCGCTGATTCAAGCTGTGGGAGACGTTTGAGGCTCGCTCACTCACCCATCATTAAGCTCACCTCCTGCTGGTATGCAAATTTAACCCGCTGCTGAAGTTAGCTAATCAACAACTCGCCGTTACCTCCCTTTGTCCACAGAGCAGCTAACCGTTTCATCTGGACGTCCTCCGACTCTCTCACTTTTACTTCTCTCTGATGTTTGACCTTCACTATGCACAAAGATGTTTGTAGGTTTTACAAAATACTTTTTTAACTGTTTCTGCTGAGGGAGCAATGTTCCCCTCTGCCCTCGTACAAACATGATGATGTGACATCACTTTCTTTTAAACCGCCAGTGTGCAGAAAGCAGCTGACTGCATGTGATGAGGAAACTTAGAAAACACGTCTTTGCAGCTGACATGAGATATATTTTGCATCAGCAGTCAAACTTTTATAAGACAAAAATAATGAACATTTTTTTTCCAGTAAGAATGGAGGAGATGAACAAACACAAGTTAATGTTCAAAGACGAGTGTTTGTCTGATCCTTCAGGACGTCCAGAGAGGATCTTTGAACCTTTTTAATGGCATTACTCTGTTGAAGATGTTTGTCTTCAAGCACACCGGCAGCATCATGTTTTGGATCTATATCTGTGTTTGTTTCATTGCTAACCACTTTGGATCAGACAGAAATATCCATAAAAGGTTCAATTGCAGCATTCTAACGGTTATTCATGGCGCCCGGAGGATGACTCACACTAGCTCTGTTGATCCATAACTTTCCCTCTCATGGCATCATCAGGTCACAGATCTCTTTTGTCCTCTTCATGTGTCCCAAATGTTTCATTTAAGCCAACGGTAAACGTTCTGTTTTGTTGATAACGCTGGGGAAACATTTGACAGCTAAAGTTCATCTTTATGCAGATGATACAGGTCTGTATTTTGTTGCATTTTCTGTGAGTCTGACCGTTACTGAGGTCCAGATTGACATTTATCAGCTGTGATGTTTATGATACGAGCCAATGAAGGTTTATGTCTCCATTAGTGCGTATCCACAGGATCCTGTTTCTGCATGTGTGCCTGCGTAGTCCTGACCTTTATGTGTGAAGCATATAATCAAACCTAAGTTCTTGTCTGGAGCTCCCACCTGGGTTTCAGTCATGTTTGAATTCAAACTTTTGTAGGGGAATCTCTTTGACTGTGTCATCCCCTCAACCACCGTGGTCCATGACTTGCTCCAACCTCCACCTCAGCTGAACAACAGGAACAAGAAGAACTCAAAGGAGAAATCCTTCCTGCTCTTTTTGTAAAGCTTCCCCAGATAACACTTGGTATGAACTGGTGTTATACAAATGAAGATGGATGGATTTCAGTGCTGTCTTCCTTCAGACACTTCTGTAACTCGTGGATGATAAACTTTATTTATCGTGCAGATTAAAACCTCAGTATGCATCATTTTATACCCTCAACATCTGCATTCACATAGCACATAGAAAAAGGCTCGACAGCTTTCAGAGGACATTATCTACACGCCGACTTTTCCACACTTTGCTGCATAGATTCTCGGTTCATGCTAACCCAAAGTAGACTCTGTTATTGGTTTGTTTTAACTTCACAGCCTTCCTTCCATCTGTAGAAGTCGAGATATTTGAGCTCCAGTAGTTTGCTGCTCTACCTAATGTTTGCTCTGAAGTCGATTTTTCCTTTTAGTGCATCTTTTTTTTATTTATTCTATTTTTTAAGTTTGAAATGTTTTTTAAGCAGCTTCAGTCATCAGAAGGCGTCTTGTCTAATCCAACAGTGTAGTCACAGTGACAACAGGCGATGTTTGTGGTGAAGGCGTCTTTCGGGGTCAATCAGCCATTATACAGACAATCTCCTCCCTCACAGCGACACCCCCCCCCCCACCACTCTGTGTCTCTGGAAACTACAGAAGCCTGAAGGAGACATTCTGTGGGTACAAAACACACTTGTTCTCTTTGAAACATCCTCCTTTCTTCTTCCTTCAGGGTGCTGCTGTTAATCATGAATGGCACTGATATGTTATTGTAGCTTCACTCTGCCAAGGCCCTCCGTCTTCTCCCCATATATCACCAGCACATATAATTAAAACAACAAACTTGGCTGACTCATATCCTGTGTAAAAATATGAAACAAATGCGAGGAGCTGTGTGTGGGGGGGTGGCAGGAAAAGTAGACGCGCCTCAGGCTCTAATTCAAACCATATACTGAAGCTTTCCTGCAGCCATGAGGGTTAAAGGGGGAGGTACTAAAGTACAAATACAGAGTTAATGTAGCGTCATCACGGATCTGTACTTCGCCTGCAACCTCTTGCATTGACCTCCTACATTAGAGCAGCTGTTCTCTCTCTTCCTTAAAGTTTCAAAACCGGCTGGTTACACGAGCTCAGATGCATTCAGGGAGGATTATGGATGATTTTTAAGTTGCATCATTGCACGCCACCTTTGCAACATCCTGTCTAACTCCAGCCTAAATGTAAGACCGAGCTGATAAAAAGAAGCTGACACAGGACGGACGCAACCTTGTGAAATCTGTGCAAGAAGTCATGTGAAGATAAACAAACGTTGAGGGAAAGTGTTTGGTAGAGAAGAAGAGGCGTCTGGTGAACATGAAGTCTGTGAGCGACTGGGAGAACGCAGAGCCAACATGGCCGACGTAAGAGGCAGATTTAAACATCGGAGCAAAGTGAATGTTGATTACTTTCTCTCTGTTCTTTTAGTTAAAGAATTCAGTTTCTCAAAACACAAGCTGAGCTTCAGTTAGCCGATAGAAACGTCCTTCAGAGACATTTTTTGTGATGAAAATAATCAACATTTTTACTGCAGGACACAGGATACAACAACACTTATACTTTAACCAGAGTCTTTTTTTAATGCAGGCATCAGTACTTGTACTTTATCAAACAAAGTGTGTACTTGCACGTCCAGAAATCTGCAGCAGGAGAAAGTGTAAACGCTAAACCTCCTCATCAGGAGTGCTCTCGGGGCTCTTACAGCTGAATCCCCTCCTCTCGGCTCCACATCAACCTAGAGTCCCTCTGCTTTAAGCTCAGGATCCATCACACCATAAGTCAGCGGGCCGTCCTCCTCCCTGTCACTGATACGTTGTAATAACCTCATCCAGACAGCCGGGCCTCCGCTGCTCTCTCCTCCCCCTCAGCAGGTAACAGAGAGTGGAGAGAGAGAGAGAGAGGGGGAG